TTCTACAACCTTTTACCTTCTTAGCAGGTAATTATATGCCTAATAACCTTTAGAAATGTTAGGAACTCTTGTTGCAAGATCCTAGGAATTCTCTGGGTATGGTGGTTAGAAAAACAGTGATAGCCACATTCATTAGATATCAGTCCCACCTGCACTGCTTGCAGGAAATAAGAACCACAATAGAACTGTTTCCTTTCATGAGAGAAACTTATTTTGGGGAAGGAGGGAGTACAGATACTATAAGCTGCTAAATACTACCAGCTGCTAAATGTGTCCCTTCCTGCTGATAGCCAGAGCATGGATGAGAGAGATGAGTTAATAGTTCATTTCACCAGGAAAGGGCTTCTGGTTATCTCAGGGAAGCAATACAGATTGTGGCCTTGCCTTGGTTGTATTTAGATGTGCTCTAATATTTTTGTATTTTCATTGAATATTTTACAGGTATTGTTTGTTATTGAACATTAAAAACAGCTTACAACCTCTCGGTCTTCATTGATTACTGATGAAATGTAATTGGACATTTGAGCACAGTCCTTAATGAATTAGGTTCTCTGTACCCTTTTGCTTTTACTCTTACCCATGTTTGAAGATAGTTAGGACCTAAGCATTCTCCTATGTCCCAGAAATTTTAACATCTTTTTTTGCTAGCAAATTTGTCTGTGTAAATTTTTAACCAAATTCAATATAGATCCAGGATTTTATACCAAAAAAAAAAAAAAAAAAAAAAAAGAGCAATAGAAACTTTGATTTTGAAAATAATCCTGTATATTTTTTTATGGACAAGGAATAATTTTAAAAACCTATGCCTATGTAGGTATAATTATTTTGCTATATATTTTCTCAGTTTGTCCTTTTGATACAGATAATACAGGAGATCATTATTTTCAGTTCTTATCACTTTGGTTTTTTCTTGTCACAAAGATCTTCAAAAAGTTTCTTGTAGCCAGGCATGGTGGTGCATGCCAATAATCCCAGTGGCTCCAGAGGCTGAGGCAGGAGGAACATGAGTTCAAAGCCAGCCTCAGCAAAAGTTAGGTGCTAAGCAACTCAGTGAGATCCTATTTCTAAATAAAATACTAAATAAAGCTATTGATGCGGCTCACTGGTCGAGTGGCCCTGATTTCAATCCCCGGCACTCCTCCCCCCAAAAAAAGTTTCTTGTAGTACTGGTAATTGACAATAATTAATATTGTCATTTATTTGTTTGGCATCTGCTTTCTTCCAGGTATTACCCTAGATCTTGTATGGTATAAGGAAACATTAGAAATGTGTCTATGCAACTTGCTTTGTTGCACAGAAAAAAATGAAATATGAGCTATGTATGGAACTATGCAACTTCTAGGTTCTGAAATGGAACCATAAGTATAACAGCATGGAAGGCCAACTTAAAAATATTTTTCCAGCCCATGATTGATGTCATTATAGAAACCTTCTGCATAATTCTTTCAAGTGCCTTAATATGTAAATTCAGCAAAAATATGCTATATAATGTCTTTCAAAAGATGGGAGCTTATCAGTGCCTTTTTTATTTATTAAAATCTTTGTTGAGGTATCATTGACATGTCATAAACTTTATTTAAAGTGTACAGTTTGATAATTTTTGATATTTATATATACTTGCAAAACTATTGCCACAATCAAGATATTGAGTGCATATATAATCTCCAAAGTTTCTTTAGACCCCTGTGTAATCCCTCCCTCCTGCCCATTATCATTGTCTTCTGCCATCCCCAGGGATCTTCTTCTGGTCACTATATATAGCTTGTATTTTCTAGGGTTTATGTAAATGGAATCACACAGTATGTATTCTTTTTTGTCTGGTTTCTTTTATTCAACTTAATGATTTGTGATCATCCATTTTGTGTATCAGTAGTTTGCTTCGTTTTATTGCTGAGAAACATTATAAATTATTTTAGTCTCTACAAACATTTATGCCAAGGATGGTAGCACACACCGACAATCACAGTGACTTAGGAGAATTGAAAGTTGGAGGCCAGTATGGACAACTTTCTTTCTTCCTTGTCTCAAAATTAGAAAATTAAGGGGCTGGGGTTTTAGCTCAGTGGTAGAACTCTTGCCTGGCATGTGTGAGGTGCTGGGTTCGATTCTCAACACCATGTATAAATAAATGAATAAAATAAACATACATCAACATCTAAAAAAATTTTTTTAAAAAGAAAAAAAAAAGAAAGATAACAAGGCTGGTAGTGTGGCTTAGGTGGTTGTGCCCCTAGGTTCAAACCCAGTACCAGAAAAAAAAAAAATTAAAGAAACACCTCTGTCTACAAACATATTGACCCCAATATTTCAAATGTTGACCCCAATATTTTAAATCTTTAAAAATCCTTTTAAAATACATTTTTGCTTTTAAAATCTTTAATCCTTAGGAAATAATGCCCATGTGAAAGTAACCATCTTTTTTGTTTTATTTGTTGTTTTGTTTTTGTCATTGTTAAATTCTAGTAAAATTAAACCTAACTTTGATTTTAAATTTTCATGGTGCTTGTTTCCTTATTTTCAATTATGAACCAATTTCTTCAGCCTTAGTATTACCAGTGGTTTGTCAAGTCACTCTGAAGTCCATGGTAAAACTTCTGTTCTCTAACTTTCAGACTTGGGGAATCTAACTCAGTTCAGAAATAACTCTCTATATAACCTATTTGTATGTAAGGAAGTTTTGTGGGGAGAGCCTAGAAAAACTAAAAGGTTCTTCTCATCCTGTTATTCAGTAGTTTGGTGGTTGTTTTTATTATCAGAATAGCCTTCTATGCCCAACACATCAGCTGTCTCAGAAATGCCCCCTCCAAATCTGGCCATCTTACTGAAGTACCTTGTGAGAATCAAAATTAAAGAGCAAGCCACAGACAGTAAATATCTCAGGCAATGGCTCTATCACCTTATTTAAATTCAGGCCACCTCCCTTGTTCTCATAGTACTTGCTTCCTAATCTCTTAGTTTAATGATATAAATTGGGCTTTCCTTTTTGCCTTGCCTGTTGGATTTCCTTTTTTGTTTGGCAGTACTGGGGATTGAACCCAAGATGTGCTCTACCAGCCCTTTCTTTATTTTATCTGGAGACAGGGTCCTCACAAAATTGCTGAGATTGGCCTCAAACTTGCAATCCTCCTACCTCAACCTCCCGAGTCTCTGGGATTACGTGTGCACAATACCATGCCTGGCTGCCTGTTGAATTTTGACTCTGTTTACTCCCTGATTTGCTATCCCTCACTGTCTTAGGTAAAAATCTACATCTACAGCTTTAATTTTGTGCATCCAAACCAGACTTTGTATCTCCCATCTTTTTTTGTCCCCACTAGGAGTCAGGAGGATCAAGGATGTTATCTCTTGATGGGCCTTGAGGCAGAGTGATCTGAATTATAACAAACTACTTAGCTAAAATAGAAAATGAAATAACTTGCCTCTTTAGCTTTCTGATCTCAGGATGTCCCATGCCCATTTTCTGGTATATTACTAATTACTAGCAATCCTGAATTACCATGCTGCCCTCAGGACTTTCAGGCACTATCCATGTTGTTATCCTTCCCTGTTTTCCCCGAACAACTTTTTGGGACAGATCATTCCTCAGGCCCTGCTGGAACATCTTTTTTTTAGACCTAGATAAATGAAAGGATATCAGGTAGTTTTTATTAATCCATCCAGGTCTTCTATATGGCTATTTCTAAAATTGCTTTTCCCTGGTTTGAAAAATTATGCTCTCTAAAATTATTAGATGATTTATGTACTGTAAAATTACAGATCATGTAGTGAAGGACTTGGTAGACCACTGTATTGATATGACTTGCTCTTTTTTGAACTCTTCAAAGTACTTATCTGATTCTTTTCACATGTCCTACCTCCCAGTATTCTGGCAACCTAATCATTTAATTCAGGCACCAGTGAAATAGTTAATGTTGGAATACAGTTATATACTGATATTTTTATTTTTTCTGAAAATCTTGACAAGTATTTCACTTTTTACTTTTCCTCAGCATTAACTATATTACCCTCTAAAAGCAATATTTCTGATGGGTTTTTGAGTAGAATTGATGAAATCTGACAATATTTCCCACATGCTTAGATTGTAATAAGTGGTTTCCTATCGCTCATCTACAACCATCTCAACTTATTTCACTAGCCATGGGAAGTCTTATCTTTTTCTTCTATGTGTACTAAAATGTTTATATGCCTTCTCAATTTTCGTAAGAGAGATTTTTTATGAACATCACTTTAAAAATTGTAACATTTCTATAATGATGCCAAAAGAATAGATTATGTTAAGCTTTGGTTCTCTTTGCTTTTTTTAAAAACATTTTTTGGTGCATTATAATTATATATAATAGTGGGATTCATGCTTACATGTTCATAACATGCACACAATGTAACAATTTACTTTGGTCTTTTTCATTCCCCAGTATCTTCCCTTCCCTCCCTTTTTATTTTTCTTTACCTTTTTAAAACCTAAGTATTCTCTTGCTGATCTAAAGTTTAAATTTAATCTAACCCCCTTCAGCTGCTTTAATTTTTTGTATTTGAAAAAGTCTTCCTATCCTGAATCATGCTTCTTGGTCTTTCTATGATTGACATAGAGTGGCCTCCTTGCAAGACAGAAGATTTTGAGGAGATTTTAAATAAAGAAAGAGAATGTGTATGATTAATATAAATGTGATAAAGATAATTAATATGAACTAAATGGGATTTTAGTTTAAGGGACTTCAGGGAAAGTTTTTGAAGGTATAACAACATGTTACAAGCAGTGATTTGTGTTAGGACTGGAGTTTTGTAAATAGACATTGTACAACATTTATTAGTATTAGGTAATTATGTTATTTTTCTTAATCTTAGGATCTTGGGATACCCTGACTTTTTTTTTCTAAACTCATTCTTTGAGTAACAATTTGGACATTAATAGTATGATAGACTTATCATTGCCTACTTTCCAATTACCATGACCTAATCTCTAATGTGAAAGTTTATGTTTTCTTGTTATTTTTCATTTTTAGATCCATTTTTCCTATACACCCTTCCTTCAGAATCATTGCCTTGGCAGAGCCCCCTGTTATTGGAAGCACAACACAGCAGTGGCTGGGACCAGAATTCTTGACCATGTTCTTTTTCCATTACATGAAACCCCTTGTCAAAAGTGAAGAAATACAAGTGATTAAGGAAATGGTAAGAGTAAGGCCAGTGATAACCTAATGCCTATAGCTGTTCTCTTTCTAATGTACCCTAATACATGCTGGGGCAGAATGGGGCATTTTGTCTTTTCCTCCCCATTTATTTCCAAATATTTTCATATAATAGTATAAGTCAATGGTTCTTAACCTCTTAACATTTTTCAGAATTATTTGAAGGGTTCGATAAAACACAGATTTTTGAGCTCCATCTCTTGTTTTTTGAGTCAGTAGATTTGAATTGGTATGTGACAATTTGTATTTCTGACTAGTTTTCAGGTGATAGCTGATGCTACTGGTTTGAGGACCACACTTCTGAGAACCACAGGTGGAGGCCACCTTTCCCCTATCTTATGCAGAGTTTTGCAATTCCTTTCTGATTATATTCAGTCAGAAGTGACTATTTTAACTTCCTACTGAGAAAAGGCCAGATATATAGTTAGTTCCTTAGATTTTAGAGAAAGTACTAAGTAGTCCTGGTTCCCTCAGGACTATAATCTTATACTTACCTGCCTAGTCAATTGGTAGCTTCTGATATGTAGGTGATCCATTGTTGAAATGTTTGCCCTAACCAAGCATTGTGTTTACCACTTTGTAGTTCTAGAACTGTGCTATTCAATGTGATAGCATTAGCCACACTAAACAAAAAATTTTAAAGTCAGTTTCTTAGTCACCTTTCAAGTACTCAGTAGCTATGTGGGATGTGTTGACTACTGTATTAGCACAAATAAAGAAAATTTCCATCATCATAGAAACTTCTATTGGCGAGTGCTGTTTTAGATCATTAAACATGAACATTTTACATAAATGGATTCATTTCCTTTGAAATACCAGAATGAAATGGTTAATTTTAGGTATTGTGAGCATGGTTGTGTACAAGGCTTTAGGGTTCAGCAACTTGACTCTTAAATGTCAAATCTACTACATATTAGCTTCTAGATCTTGGATAAATTAGTCACAGTTTCCTCACCTGAAAATGGGGATAATACTACATCTTACACCATAGGATTGATTTAAAGAATAAATAAGGTAAAGTATGTAAGGAATAGAATTAAAATTCTAAAAATTTCCATTTACTTAAGTGACCCAAAACACCCTGAGCAGTGTACTTTCAAAATGGTCATATTATGCCAATCATCACTGTAACATCATTTCTATTCCTTTTAAATTAAAAAATGAAAGTTGTTGATTAAATTCTTATAGTTTAAGATATTTAGTTACATTAAGGTTTATAATAGTTAAAAGCAATCAATGTCTTTTATTTGAGCAGCTGCTCTCCTGAATTGATCATGGCCCTCAAGTATGAGGATTAAAATTTTTTGAGAAAAAAGGATACCTTGAGCATTCTTTATACAATAGTATCTTATGTTACTTAGTAGACATATAGACACACACATATAAAGCAATTTGGTTTTAGTAATGAAAATGCCTAAATCAGAGCTTTCACAATGAAACTAACAAAACCAGAAATGAAAACATTTAATGGTTACACTATATGTCAGTTTTTAATTGCATTAATTGTTTTGTTTTATGCTGGTGATTAAATTGTATATGGAGAAGAGTAGCTTCACACTGACTCATGAACTATGTATGTAACTAATAATCATGTACTTTCTATAAATGTAATTCTAATATTATTTGCTAAGTAGTCATCATTTCTGGCCAATTGAGCAGATAACCTAATTATTTTTTCTGATTTTCCTCAATTCTCTCATAAAATAGGTCCCAAATATTCCTCAGGAAGCCTTGAATAAATTGTTATCATTTACACACAAACTCAGAGAGACCCGGGATCCAACGGTAAGTCTGGGCTTTGCCAAAGGATTTTCTCTTGTTGACATGCTGTTGTTTTAAAATCTGTTGTTAAATTGGCAGTTTTAGCCTTTATCTTTGGTTTCTCCTGTACATATGTTTAACTATGATTGCAGTGATTTTAACATTTTTTTCCAGATCTTTGTGGCTCATGTAGAGGATGTAATTTTTTACTTTATGGGAATATTTGGGGCTCTTGGGGTTCTACTTTGTTCCCTTCATCTCTTTCACTGAGCATCAGCATCTATTCTTATAGCTGTGTCCTGTTTCTAACCACACCCAACCCCTCTGTTTGTATTTCTATCCCAGGATGGCATGTTGGAAACATAAAGTACTATCACTTTCTAACTCTGTAACTCTGTGTTCTCATCTGTAAAATGGCGAAATTTCCATTTATCTCATAAGAAGGTTGCAGTGATTAAACATTAAAATTTATGTAAAGAATCTCCTCTTTAGTAACTGCCTAAAAAATGTCAGTTTCTTTACTTTTCAACTAGATAGCTTTGAGATTACTATAAATTATCTAGTACAACTAAGCTATCTTTCCCCTTGAAATTGTGTTCCAAATTTAATTTCCTTTAATAATCTACCAAATTACCCAAGTTAGAAAGCTTGACATTTTTAATTCCTTGCATTTCTTATGTCTTCTTTTAATAGGAAAGTAAATCTCACCAATTTAGTATCTTTAAATGTCATATCTCTTCTTTGATCTAGTGTCAATAATTGTTCTCATATCAGATTTCACAGTCTTTCTCCTGGGGTATTGGTATTTTCTCTCTACTGCTCTCTTTACCAACAATTCATTCATCAAGTGGTTGTCTGTTATTTTCCTATAGCTGTTATAACAAATTATCATAAGTTGTTGGTTTAAGAGAATAGAAATTTGTCTGGTGGACAACAAAATTTATAAATCAGTGTCATCCAAAATCAAAGCATCAACAGAGCTGAACCCTGGGAAGCTCCAGGGGAGAATATCTTCCTTGCTTGTTCTGGGTTTTGGTGGCTTCCAGCATCCCTTGACTTGTGACCTCATCATGTCAGTTCTGCCTCCATCTTTTTGTCACCTTGTCTGTGTATTTGTGCCAAATTTCCCTCTGTTTCCCTCTTACATAAGATTTCATTTAGGGCTCACCCAAATAATTATCTCCTTATTTCAAAATCCTATCCTATCTGCAAAGAAAACTGTCATAAAAAATGACGTTCACATATTCCAGAGATTATGATATGGATACCTTTGTGTGGAAGGGCTTAGAGTTGGGGGACCCTGGACCATTTTCTAGATGTCACATGTTTCCTGTTAATTAACATCTAGGGCCTCATCTCCAACTTCTTTCCCCCCTACTCATTCTTCAGCTAGCTGTATTGATCTCTTTGCTATTCCATGAACACAGTATACCTGCCTCAAAGCCTTTGCTACTTGGCATTTCCTCTGCCCATGTGTCTCTTTCCCAGATGGCTGCACATTTACTCCTTCACACCTTTCAAATTCTCTCAGGTGTTACTTTTTAAATGTCATATTCTCTCAGGTGTTATTTTTTAAGTAAAGCTTTCTTAAATTTCTTCTCTATTTTATTCCTATCTCTCTTTCTACCTTAAGGTTTTTCAGAGGACTTATATGACCTTTGGACACAATAGACATATTTTAGTCACTTATTTTTTGTTCTCTGTTTTCCCTCACTTGGATTTTTATCCCCAGCAGCATTTGCTTTTGTTTGTTTTGTTCCCTGTGGTATTTCCAGAATCTTGAACTTCGCCTACAACACAGTAGGTATTCAACAGGTATCTGTTACATAAATGAATGAATGAGTCTTCTTTATTGTCCTTGGAATGAACTTTCTCAATCCATTTATGGAGTTCTTCCCTTTCTTTAAAAGTGTTAAGAGATTCATTCTCTTTGCCCACAGATTAAAGACAACCCCCTTTTCCCAGTCTCATTTCCTACAATCTCTTTTGAAGCTCCCTCAGCTCTGTTCACACATGGCTTCTTCCTGTTGTTTTTTTTTTTTGTTGTTGTTGTTGTTTTTGTTTGTTTGTTTGTTTTGACTCTACCACTAGTCTGCTCTGTATTATGTCTGAAATATGCTTTCTTCCCATCCACTTGTCCCTCAGATTCCTTATTCTCTCAGGTCTCTCATCCTCCTTAGGCAGAAGTAACCTCTATCTCTCATCTGCTTTCATGACACTTGGTGTATACTTCTGATATTGAGACATTGCCATTGTATTAAACTTTATTTTTATATCCCCAATTAATATTTGAACTTTTTGAGTCTGAGTCTTGTTCATTCTTTTATTCTTATTTCCCAGGCTGGTTGGTACCTGGCACATAGTAGACACTTAAATCTTTGATGAATGAATGAATCAATGAATTTGTTAAGTAATTACTTATTAGCTGTACACCCTTACATTTTTCTCTTGACTTGTGATCTCATCTGTTAAGTTTTCGGAAAGAAATAATTCTTTAGGAGAAAGAAAGTTTATTTTAATAAGTTCTGATAAGATCTTTTATATTTTTAAGCTGGGTACTAATAATCATGTTAATAATATAAAACCCTTTTTGGTGTGTTTTTAAATTGCATAATCATGGTAACTAATGCTTCTCATTCTCATCCTATTTTCTACAGATAAAACTGTAGTTAGAAATTTGATATTATAAATGTTAAATACATTAGGAATTTTAAATTAAAGTATACTCTCAATTTTTAATCAAAAATATGACAACAGAAATTACTAGTCTCTCTATTCAACACTTAAATGGCTCAACAGATAGCTTAGTTCTGATTTTTTCCAACACTGTATATTATTGCAAAACATTTTGGTTCCATCAACTGAAGGAGTTATTATTCTTCAAATTCATGAGAAATCCTCACTGATCACTAGAATTAAATGTGAAGTCTGAACTCAGTGTTATGCTTAGAATGAGATTAAAATGTTGTATCCTAGAAAGTTACCTGAGGGTTTAATAAGACTCTTGTCATCAGAAGCCTCTGTTGGGAGTTTAAACTTTTTTCTTGATTAAAATAGGAAAATTTCATCGTGCTAGATATTAAGGATAGGGATTTCTAAGTTATTTCTAGCCTCTGATACTTTCAGCCATACTGGCTGAATCTTATCCTTAGTTCCTCTCAGTTGGAAAGTCCTTTGAGATACTTGTTGCATCCTTTCTCTTCATGTTTGCTGCCATAATTGGACTATAGGATTTTGTCTTTTCATAGGCAGATTAATGAAGTAACTTTCTGTTTCCTGATTGTAGTCTCTCTGTCCTTCAACTACTTTACATATGGCTGCTGATTTAAGTCGGGAATTAAGCCAGATAATTTGATTCTAAAATCAGGGTACTCCTTTGCACAAAGTTCCCTTTCGTTTAGGAATAAGGTCAAACTCCTCAGAGTGTCACCCACAGGTCTTTGATATTTGAGAATAAGCCTTTCAGCAGGGCTCTATATTAGAGCTGTGCTGATGTCCTCACAGCTTACATGAATTTGTGTTCCATTTGCTTTCATGCCTTTGTTGTAGCAGTTCTCCTGCCTACTGGAACATTTTAAGCCACTGTAGCGGTTGTCAACTGTTCCACTTATTTTAGCATTAAATTACATGCTATTTTGAATTGAAATTTATGGTTTCTTATCTTTAAATATTGTCTCTATGTCTAGAATGCAAATTTATTGAAAACAAGGATGCACCAAATGTTTGCTTGTGAATGAGTTCTTTGAAATTTAGAACATGTTGTTTAATAAAGGATATGTACTAATAACAGTAGATCAATATCTTATGAAGCTGAAGTTCATGAGGAAGGAAATAGTCAATAAATTTTTCTTCTTTGGGACTTACAGAGATGACCTTAGGTGAAAAGTTTGAATAAGAAAATGAATGTGAAATGTGTCTTTGGCTTTCTCCCCTTATCTATTTTGAACCCTTTGTTAATTTTATAGAATCTCCTTTATTAGACACTTTGAGCCATGTTAGTGCTCCTGTCACCTACTACATTTCACTCTTATCTTTGGTGTGCCCTCCCAAAGGTCCAGTTGCTTCAAAAATCCTTCTCTGGTTTTCAGTGGAAACCACTGTTTTCCTAACATTGCCTATCTGAGTTGAGAATTAGGCCATTAACAATCTGGCTCATTAAAATTATGGTCATGTCTCATCCCTTTCATCTATTTGATTTTTTTTCATTGTGAAGAAGGTAACTATTTTAATGATCTCTGCCACCTGTTGAGCACTCATATTTTTCAGACCTGTACTAAGTGCTTCAAAATCTTTTTCTAATGTAATTCTCAAAACAACCTTAAAGGTAAGTGTATTATCATTGCCATTTCAAAAATGAGGAAACTGAGGCTTGGAAAGTTTAAATAATTTTGTGAAGTTCATACAGTTAATGAAGAGTCTGACTTATCAAACTCAAAGCCTATAAACTTTATCATGATATTATGGTATCTGCCAAGAGAATTTCAAGTTCAAGTCGGCAAATGTTTATTGAGCACTTACCATGTCCTAGGTTCAACAGGAAAAACTCTGTGAGTGGAATCTGAGAAAGTAAGAGAAGAAAAAGAAATTATTCTGACAGTAGAGGGGAAGGATTTCAAACATCAAGCTGCCACACAAGATAACAAACTGATTTACACATCTATGGTCAGCACACTAAAATATTCCACAACTCCTTTTCTCTGGTTCAGAAACAAGAGATTTCCTTAAAGTTCTAGGAATTTTTAGAATACCTTAACAAATTAGGGGAAAAAAAGAGAAACAAATAGTCATTGGTACATAGGAATTATTTTTAAGACAGGTATGACCTATGTTGTATAATACCCTTCACCTATTCACTCTCCTCCACCCCAATATGTGAATATAGCACTTAGCACAATTAAAATAACTTGAATTGAATTGATACTTTTTATATTGAAAAAAATTGCCTTTACAGATATTTAAAATGCAAGTTGGTTTGTTTATTTTTATTTGTAATTCATTAACAGTGCATATTTAATTTAAAGTTGGCCTTATCCTTCAGGAGTAATGAATTCTGTTGTGATACCCATTTAAAGGTTATTTAATAAGTTGAAGCAGGTCTCTTACCAGACTTTCCTTACCTTTTTGATAGGCACAGTCCTTGGCAGCATCACTTTCTACTCGACAATTGTTGCGGATTTCTCGTCGGCTGTCACAGTATCCTAATGAAAATCTTCACAATGCTATTACAAAAGCTTGTCTTTCCAGGTAACCATACTCTTCTTTCACACTGACTTCAAGTCTTTGGATCTTTGCTAAAACACAACATAAATTTAATTGATAGTCTACATTCACAGGTTCATAAAAAGTATTGGTCTGAATATATGAATATTTCAGCCTAGTCATCAGTCATTAGAATTTACTTAGTATAATATATTATGTTATTTGGGCATGAAAACAATTACAAGGCGGGGGGTGTAGCTCAATGGTAGAGTATAAGCTTAGCAGGTATGAAGCCCTGGTTTTAGTTCCTAGCACCAAAAAATAAAATAAAATAAAATAATAATAATAATAATACAAAATTTTAAACAATTTTTTTATATTTGTTTTTTAGTAGTAGTTGAACAAAATACCTTTATTTTAATGTGGTGCTGAGGATCAAACCCAGGGCCTTACACATGCTAGGTGAGTGTTCCACCAGTGAACCACAACCCCAGCCCCAAATTTTAAACAATTTTAAGAAGTATTTTACATATGAGAAAACTGAGTCACTTGCTCAGATCACGGAGTAGAGGTCTGAGACTTGAATGCTGGTTCATAGGTCTTCAGAGCTGGGGCTTTTGTGCATTTTACTTATCACCTTGCAAATTTGCCTTGGAATTTTCTATGCTTGTTAGTACTGCCCTCTTCTCTAATTTTAACAAAACTAAGATGTTTTAAGTCTACACTAATAGTTTTCATACCAATGGGGAATGATTATAAAACATTGACTTATAGAATTTTCTTACAGAATCACCTTTTCATGAAACCATTTTAAAAGAGTAATAAAAAAAGATTAAGAACAATCCCAGTTAACATAAAATATCTTCTTGAATACAAATCTTATTCTTTTAAGTTGATATTAGGTCTTGTTTAATTTTTTTCCTTTTTTATGTTAACTCACATAAAATATTTTTGAAATATTAAAAAATGGTTTATTAGATACTATATTATTTACCAAATATATTTTCACAGTAAGTCCAATACTAGGTATGATCAGGAAGCATCTTTTTTTATACCTACAATATGTTTGAGTCATCCTGTAAGCAGATTGGTTTGTGCTCACTGTCTCAGTAGGTACATCATGAAAATGTTAATTTATGCCACTTATATCCCTGTATTAAAGGGCTCAAATTCATTATAAGGGTCTCTCAACAGCTGCCCACACTGACAAGATGAGCTGGGTTCAAAATAGCTGGCTGCAACATTAAGCTAAGAAAATGGCAAGAAATCACACAACACAGAAGTAGATTTCATGTCGAGGGTAGGATGTCTCTGCAACCTTAGGGTCAGCATCCACCCTGAGGAGCACTGGAAAGAGAGCGTGTACCAGGAATCTATTTTTATGGGTGGGCAACCCACAAAGGAGATCCAATGGAAGGTTTTTCACCAAATAAGGCAGGGGATAATGTTTCAAAGGTGAAGTCTTGCTTTGTGATGTCTTGTGGTCAGCAGATTGATTGACATCTTGGCAAATCACACCCATCTCAGGTGCTGTGTGGGATCATAGGCAGAACAGAGGAAAGGCACACTTACAGCCCAATCAGTGAACAGCGGATAGTTCCACCATTTGACCCAGCTATCCGTCTCCTCCGTCTATACCCAAAGGACTTAAAAACAGCATACTACAGGGACACGGCCACATCAATGTTTATAGCAGCACAATTCACAATAGTTAAACTGTGGAACCAACCTAGATGCCTGTCAGTAGATGAATGGATAAAGAAAATGTGGTATATATACACAATGGAATATTACTCAGTAATAAAAGAGAATAAAATCATGACATTTGCAGGAAAATGGATGGATTTGGAGAATAGAATGCTAAGTTAGCCAATCCCCCAAAACCAAATGCCAAATGTTTTCTCTGATATAAGGAGGCTGACTCATAGTGGGGTTGGGAGGGGAAGCATGGGAAGATTAGACAAACTCTAGATAGAGCAAAGGAGAGGGAGTAAGGGGTGTAAGAAAAAGATGATGGAATGAGATAAACATCATTAACCTAAGTATATATGTATATATATATATATATATCTATATATATTTATATATATATATGTATATATAAATATATCTATATGTATA